ACTGATGTCATTACTGAAATTTAGTGAAATTTACCTCTATACATAAGGGCTGGTAAAATGTGCAACAGCTGAAATTTGCAGTTGTTACACGTCTACGCGCAGTGGGGCAGGCAAGAGTTGGGGTTTGCAGGGAGTCGGCTTTTAAGCTGGCCTCCCACATGTACCGGCTCTCTCCTGCTGCCTCCTTTCTTGCACGTTGCTGCCTCTCTATCAGAGGCAGCAGCATGGGGGGCAGGTGGCTCCGTGGGGACTGGTGCTCACGGGGAGCAGGCAGCTTCATGGGAGCAGGCATGCATGGGGAGCCAACTTAAAAACAATTGACCTCATCAGAAAAATTAGATTTTGACCCTCATCTAAGTTGGAGGTTGTCTCAAGTCCAGACTCTTTTCTGCCACCATCAAACACCTGACTATGTCAATGGTGTAAGTCACCTGGTCTGTACTAGGGATGTAAGCGACTCGTTGAGTAGTTGACTACCCAATAAGCCTAGGTTTACTGGGTAGTCTTGTCACTACTTGACTAGTTACTTCTCCCCTCCCCCTTGATGCCTCTATCAGAGGTAGCGAGGGGAGGGGAGTAGGAGCCAGTGCTGGGAGAGCCAGCTTAAAAGCTAGTTCCCCATAGCACTGTCTCTGCAGGAGAAGGGGCAGCGGAGGCAAAGGTACAGTGAAGGTCTGGGCATGAGCTGGGTCTCAGCTGTCCCAGCTTGCATCTGGTCCCAGATGCTGCATGTCTGCCTTTTAAATGTAGTAAGAACCGGGTGGCTCTTATTACATTTAAAAGGCAGAGCCGCAGTGGGGTTAGCTCCCAGGCTGCTGCAGCTTTTCAGTTTCCTCCCTTGTCAACTAATCAAGTACTCGGTGGAAATTCCATCTATTACTTGATTAGCTGATTAAACACAATTTAACATCCTTCGGGTGTACTGAACACTCACTGTTCCACATTGGCTGTCTCTCTGTAGGCGTTTTGATCCGGCCCTGCAGTTCCTGTATAAAAAAGTCCGTGACAGCCAGGCACTAGGGAGGATTCATCGGATATCGACAGTGAGCAGCATATATCCAGCAGCATCTCTTAGCTTCCTAAAAAAGTCAGGTACTGAGTCGTTTTCTTTTAGAAGAAGGGATTGGTTCTGCGAAGAGAGAGCAATTCATCTTGTCGTGTGTGTGTCTGTCATAAAATACGTTATTCTGTTCCTTATGGCAGGGAATATTCCCTTGGATCCTAATGTTGATTTCTGATGGAGTATAATATTTCTGGGGCTCTTACATTGGTCTGCATGTAGTATAGATATCTAGGTTTGCTCATAGGTTTTCCAGGAGTTAAATGCTCAATCTGATAGTGCCTATTTTTCCCCTCTTACTTCCAGGTGGGATTTTTTATCATGCTGCTGTACATGATATTGATATTATCAGTTTACTGCTGGGAGAAAGTGTACCAGATACGATATTTTCACTGGGACATGCATTCTGTGCAGGTAAAACGACATTAATTGATTATATTCTATTGGATGTTTTGTCAGTTTCCAAGTCATTGCTTATTTCAGTGCCAGAAATTTGAAAATACATTAAGTGGCAACTCATAGAGCAGTTCTCTTATGGAACTGTTTGACAGTTGACCTACAGAACAATTTCTAGAAAGATGTGATAATTTGCAAACATTTAAAACATTTCACTGAATTCTGTGCAGTTCTCAGTGCTGCAAAACTATTATAGTAGGAATATTAGTAATTCCAGATACTGCGAAAGTTGGTGATTTATAAAGGATTCTGGGGTTTCAAAGTTTTGGTTTTTTTTTTTAAATATTTTTTCAGTTCTTTGGTTAAACCTGTTCTAGATAAAGTTGATATTTTCCCTTTTAAAACCGCAGACCTCTTTATGGACCTGGTTTACATTAGTCTGTTAAACTATTAATCAAAGTCTAATGATTTTAAAGTAATTTGGCTGCTGCCAGCAATGGGCTGCCATTACTGCACTTCACTATAGATCATCTTAATGTATAGTAGGGCATTGAATTGCCAGGAACCAAACCAATATGTGATCGTGTAATAGAACACGTGTGCCTTGTATTGAATCCTAAAGGCTACCTGATGTTCCCTCTCTTACGATCACAAAAGCAAGTATGTTTCAAAGGCAAAAGGTTCTCTCTCAGAGAGGCCATGCTGTTTGTCCTGGAGTGTTCAACCCCGGTAATTCAAGTAGAAGCGTCTCCAGAGTTTAGGGGCTCTGACGAATGGTGTGGAGGAATGTAGTGTGATTAGTGTTGTGGCCATCAGCATGTTCAATATTGACTTTGCTTGCTAAGTTACTGTTTAAAGATGTTCTTTTCCATAATGCCTCTTAAAAAATAAGAACAGTGTTGTGTACAAGAGCCTTGCTGGTTTGCTTAATTTCCTAGCCTGAGTTAGTGCCTCTCTTGTCACTCAGATATGGCCTACTTGAAGGATGCAGACACTGTAGCAGTCAGCATGAAATTTCCTAGTGGCGCAATTGTTACTTTGGACATCAGTCAGCACTGTACTAAAAGCTGTGATCAGAGACTAGAGGTGGGTTTGTTTTCAGATAAGTCTGTCCATACTGTGGATGTACGCTTATTACGCAGAATACTACTACTGCAGTAGATTGTAGCCTGGGAAGAAGCTCTTGTAAAATTTGGATGGGTAAGGCTCGCCAGTCTGACCAGAAATTCTTAAGTTCATCCTCCCTATCCCAGGTTACAGTGCGGTGGAACCATAAATTTCCCCCTCGTGAGGGCCAGCAAGCAATCGACAGCAACCACACCTTAACTTGGGAAATGAAATAGAAAACAACTTTACTGCTGAAGGGAAGACGATGATACTGTGTCCAGTTCTGGGCGCCACATTTCAAGAAAGATGTGGAGAAATTGGAAAGGGTACAGAGAAGAGCGACAAGAATGATTAAAGGTCTAGAGAACATGACCTATGAAGCCAGGCTTCATGAACTGGGCTTGTTTAGTTTGGAAAAAAGAAGATTAAGGGGGGACATGATAGCGGTTTTCAAATATCTAAAAGGGTGTCACAAGGAGGAAGGAGAAAATTTGTTCCTCTTGGTTTCTGAGGACAGGACAAGGAGTAATGGGCTTAAAGTGCAGCAGGGGAGGTTTAGATTGGACATTAGGAAAAAATTCCTAACTGTCAGGGTGGTCAAATATTGGAATAAATTGCCAAGGGAGGTGGTGGAATCTCCCTCTCTGGAGATATTTAAGAACAGTTTAGATAGACATCTGTCAGGGATGGTGTAGACGGAGCTTGGTCCTGCATCTCAAGGTCCCTTCCAGTCCTATTATTCTATGATTCTATAACCACAATGAATATGGCAACAAGAACACAGATTACCTGGATTCCTTCCCCAGATGTCATTAGCACAATCAAATTAAAACTTATCTAAGTATACAAAGAATCATTTAACAATTTTTCCTACCCACAAGATCTTAATACCCCCAAGGCTGGGCGGGGAAGGACCAGCCTTCCTTCGTCTGGAAGGCTTTGGAGCAGGTGGTAGTGAAATTCCTAAAAGCAAGCTTAAGCAAAATTAAAGAAGCAAGAAAGCAATAAAAAAGTAGAATAGATATAAGTATTTGGTTTCTGACCTGAAAGATAAAAGCACTCAGAAGTGGGCTCTGTCAGCAATGGCTGAGGCAGCAGCCCTGATCTCACAAATCCCTAGGCCTAAATACCCCTTTTGGCAACAAAATGTTCCGGATGTTCAACCCCTTGTCCACAGTTGGGCTTGATACCCTAAGATTTCTGAGGGTACCACCTCTAATTGGAGAAAATACTGGGGGAACTCATGAATATGCATCAGGTATGACGGACACTTTCTTGGGTGGCATCCCAGAACTGCTAAGAAAAGGCGGGAACTTGCAGTTTTGACTCGGACATTTGTTGCCTCTTTATGTAGGAAGTTTGGAATGGCAGTCATCACCAACTTAGCAGATTTTTCTTGCAAATTCAGAGCAGAATTTAAAAAATAGCCTATTGCACCAACCACAAAACTCTTGCCTCACACATTTTATGGAAAATAACAAGAAAAACATCAATTTTTTAACTATACTAACTACCACATTTCTGCTATAAACAATCACACAGAAAATTAATTGTGCAGATACCTTGCATTGCCAGCCTATTCAAATCTACATTAAAAAAAATAGGACCGCTATCATTTAGTAGGCTAAAATAGAACAGATATCATTTAGTAGGCTACAAGATGGAACAATAGATTGTCATGATCTCAATTTAAAATAAATCTTCTGTTTTGTTAGTCACATTTTGCACACATTCACTTTTTGGAGTTACCATGAGCTTCACATGGTCACACACAAGCAGAATTGGCCCTGATATATGGTTTCAGGTGCCTTGAGGCTTCTACATTGTAGACAACCTATCCTTTTATTCCCCCCATATTGTGGGCACAGCAAGGCAAGAGGTAAATCAGTCTCACAGCTATAAAAGCTACCGGGGTGGGAGAGGTGACTACATGTCTCTCTAGTGGAGCCTGGGAAGAAGCTGTGTATAAAATCCTGTTTAATTGGTTAACCTGCCTGGCCAGAACAACCCCTGCCCTGCAGTAGGTGTGAAGCTGCTTCAGCCTGCATGAGTTAACCAGAACCAGGTGATCCTTACTGGTTAACTGGTTAAATTTTCACATCCCCTAGGGCAAATCTTTTCTGTAAATGCCTGAGTTCATGTTAGAGTGGCAAAAATGTAAAGTTCTCTAAGCTGGTCACGGGGGGGGAGGGGATGTTTAAGCCTTAAAGTAAGAGCAGCTTGTTTCATAACAGAGGGAGTGTGGCTATACTGTGCCTGCTCAGTCATTCCAGAGGACACAAGCACACACCGTACTAGCAAGTAATTCTATCTGAGCATAGAGTTACCCCTCGAGTGCCTCAAGTCCATGGTTTATAGATTGTTTTTTAAGGCCAAAAGCATGTTAACTTAAGGATCTTTAATACACTTTTATATGAATTCTTTTGTTCCTTCTTTCTCCTAGGTTCATGGTTCTCAAGGGTCATTACGGGTAGATAATCAGAATCCTTTGGGAATTACAGAGCATGGAACATCTGTATCCATCTATTCACAAACCCAGGCTGATCGGTACAAAGAAGCATACAGAGAACTTTTTAGACACTTTCTTAGAACCCTCAAAGGTTAGAAAAAATGGCAAATGCATCTCATGTCCATTAATTTGTAAGACTAATCATAATTTCATCTTCGTATTTGCTTTTCACAAATAATAGCCATGAAAATTGCTCCAAAAGCAATGCCAATTTGGAGTTTGTTTATTCTTGGAACTGGGGAGAGAATTAGAAACTGGTGTTTATATGAACTCTAAGCGCCAACTAGTGTCAGTAGTTTGAAAAGCAAAACCTTATGAAATAACAGTGAAATATATTTGGTCAAATTTAAAATAAATTTTGTGGCAGCCAAATAAAATGCTCATTGACATTGCTGGGGTGGGAACACAATAAATGGGTCTAGTTCTGTCCCAGTATGTGATATGTATATCTATGCTGGGGTGGGAACACAATAAATGGGTCTAATTCTGTCCCACTATGTAATATGTATATCTGAAGACAGAAATTAGCCTTAAAGTGTCAGGTGTGAAAAAGGAGAATAGATTTTCAATATTTAATGCTTTGTGTTTAACTTGTTGGGGGTTTGGTGGTAGTTTAAAGCAGCATTGCCATTAGTATTAATTACATTGTCCTCCTTGAATTCTTTATTAAGTACTTTTTCAGCTGCTCCATTATTTTGCCTAGGATCATTGTCAGGCTGACAGGCCTATAATTACCTGGGTCATCCTGTTTACCCATTTTAAAATTTGGCACCACATTAGCTTTCTTCTAGTCTTATGGAACTTCCTCATTTCTGTAAGATGTACTGAAGAACAACATTAACAGTCCAGTGAGCTCCTCAGTAAGTTCTTTGAAAACTCTTGGATGCAAGTTGGTTACCTAGCTCCTAGCACTGGTAGGTAGGCAGCTAAAGAATTTCTTCTCTTTCTGTTCTTTTGTTCTCAACATCTCCGTTTTGAGCTGAGCACACGCATCTTCTTTCTTTTTATCTCACTGTTTATTAGTTTAAAGTCCTTGACCACTCTAGCCAGCCCATCCCTGAGAAAATTAATCTCCTTCTGCTGAGGTGAAGGCCATCCAAATTATACAGCTCCTTTACCTCACAGAAGTATGCTATACCACTAATTTAGCTAGCAATTCACTTCCTGAATCTTCTGCCTGTCTTTGCTTGTGGGCAAGAAGGAAGACAAAGAAGATAACTTGGACAGTTTTTTTTCTTTTAGCAAGCTTCCAAGTTCCCTGAAGTCATCTACTGTTTGCAAGATATCCTGCAACAGAGGCATTAGTGGCATTCTGGGATCCTTTCCCATCAACTTCAGAAGCCTGTGCAAACTTAGAGCGATATCTCAAGTAAGGATGTTAAGTTTCGATTAATCAGCTAATCCAGTAGTCAATGGAATTTCCATCGAGTTGTTGGTATTATCTGCATACTTAATAAGCGTACACTGTATGCCATCATCTAAATCGTTGATGAAGATATTGAATAGAATCGGTCCCAAAACAGGCCCCTGCAGAACCTCACTTCTGCCCTTCCAGCATGATTGTGGACCGTTAATAACTACTCTTTGAGGGGGCAAGGAGTCCTGTAGCACCTTATAGACTAACAGATGTATTGGAGCATAAGCTTTTGTAGGCAAAGACCCATTTCATCAGAACTAACACGGCTACCCCTCTGATATTCTCTGAGGGTATGTCTACACTTGCACCCTCTTTCAAGAGAGGAATGCAAATGAAGACGTAACCCTGTTCCTAACTCTTGCTTCATTCATCACTCCATTCCTATTCTCACTGGGCTCCATGCTTGATGCTTGCCTCACCTCCAGTCATTCTGGCGTCAAATTTTGCCTCCGACTTCTGATCCTGATGCCGAATTGAGCCCTGGATCTGGGATCTGGCAGTTTTCTCATGAAATAACTGCGTCTTAACAGCGTCTGTTCTTTCAAAATAGCGCCATAACGTGAATATGCAAATGAAGAACGGGACATTTCAATCCCGGCTTCATTTGCAATTTCAAATGTCTTCATTTGTATCCCGCTCTCAAAAGAGGGTGCCATTGTAGACAAACCCTGAGAATGGTTATCCAGCCGGTTAGCATCCATCTTATAGTAGCCTGAACTTGGCTGTCTGGGAACTCTTCTGTTTCCCTTACTCTCAGCAAATGTGTCTACTTCCGCCTCCAGTTCAAAAATCTTATCCTTCAGCACAGTCACCAGCTTGCACTTCATGCACACGAAGTCCCTTCTAGGTTCAGGCAGGGAAGAAAATATAGCGCATCCCTTGCAGGTTACCACCACACTTCCATCACTGACCATTTTGAAATCACATGTATAACTGAACCTGGAAGATTCTCACGCTCCCTCTTCTAAATTCCCTTCGAAGTTCTCCTGCTACCTGCCCTCTGTTCATAGCTCTCAAGTTCATGTAATAAGTATAGTATAAAATGCCAAATTTTAAATAAGTTGCTATTAATAGCAGGATCCAAAACAGCTGAATTGAAGAAATCATTAAAATATATCTACTATCTCCGCCCGCCCCACCCTGGCCAAGAATTCCCTCTCCCCTGGACAGAAGTGCTTCTTTCCTTTCAAAATTTTCAAACTGCATTGAGCAAAATAGATGCAATGTCCTTCTTCCAACCGTCTTGTTTCTCTTGTAGTAGAGTGGGAATTGTAATTGTTCATGGATAGTCTCCAGACATTTTGAATTTTACAGAGCACACTTATGGGTTCAATTGAAAACACAATAAAAAGAGACTGCAAGGGAATTCTACGTTGTTTTGTTATGCAGATTACTTTCTTGTTATGCAGAGGAGAACCTTCTGTGGTTTATTCGTTCTCCCCCAGGTTCTTAGACTTGATTGTTTTATTCTATAGATCATCAGAAAAAATTCTATGGTTTGTCATTAGTCTCTGGTCTGTATTGAGAACCACTGGTCTGTGTTTGCTCATATCTGTGCAGATATGTAAGGAAACATGACCCCACCATAAGGATCTTCTAGAGAGAGAAATGATCCACTGGTCTGTGTTTGCTCATATCTGTACAGATATGTAAGGAGACATGACCCCACCATAAGGATCTTCTTCTAGAGAGAGAAATGATTCTGTTCAGTTTTGTTTGAACAGATGAACACAACTTAGGGTTGAGTTTTGTTGAGATGAATAAAAAGAAACTAGTTCAAACCTATGCAAACATGGGTTAGAAAGTTTCATCTGAACTCTGTGGAGAGGTTTCCATTTTGCTAAGGGGAGATTGAGAAGAGAAGGCTGAGGGATTGATGGAAACAAAATACCATATACAGTAAAACTCCATTAGTCCGGCATCCAATGCTCTGGCACTCCTGATAGTCCAGCACCATCAGGAACCCGGAAGTGCTGGGGCAGCCGGACAGGCTTCCCCCATTCAGCCGCTGCTGAAACTGACCAGCAGCTGAATCGGGGAAGCTGGGAGCAGAACAGCTGGGTTGCTGCCTGGTTGGTCCCATAATAGCGCTGCCCCTCGGAGCTGCGGGGCCAACCCGGCAACACCCCAGCTGTTCTTGGGGACACCTGAGGCAGAGCAGCTGGGGTGCTGCCGGGTTGGTCCCATGAATCAGCGGCTGAATCTGGGGCAGAGCCAGACTATTGGAAGGGGGGGCTATGAGGGGTCTGGGGTGCATCCCCTCCTACCCCACTCCAGACCCCTCATTGTCCTGTCCCCCCTTCCCATAGTGGGCATATCTGATAATCCGGCACCCCCTGGGTCCTAAAGGTGCCGGATTATCGGAAGCTTACTGTATAAGGAAGATAGTCATTTTGTGTTGAGGTTGAGGGAGGGTACTTCTGTTAGTCCTAATACAGGACACTGGCTATCCTTAAGATATAAACCTTTTGTTCTGTTTGAATAATGCTAGGAAAAATATTGGTTTAAATTATACGGAGAGGCAGAGGGAATTTGAGTTTACATTGAAGAAGCAATTCATAGTTCGAGAGATTTGCAAAACCTCAGGGTGTTAACGTGTTGGGTTTCCCTGCGAGATGATTCTGCTCAGTTTGTCCAGAACACTTGTCCAGTTCTGGGAGAACATTTCATCTAGTTCTTTGGGATCCAAAAAACTCAGTTTGACTCTAGCTCATCACTTGAATTGTGTTTTTAGTGGGGCCCTACCAAATTCACGGCCATAAAAAGCTTGTCTTAGACTGTGAAATCTAGTCTGTTCCCATGAGATCTGTTATTTGGTGGCTTTTACACCGATTTCATGGGGAAGACCAGTGTGTCTCAAACTGGGGGTCCTGACTCAAAAGTGAGTTGCACGGTTATTTTAGGAGGGCACGGTATTGCCACCCTTCCTTCTGCACTGCCTTCAGAGCTGGGTGCCTGTCCAGCAGTGGCCGCTCTGTGGCTCTGCAGGCAGCAGCACAGAAATAAGGGTGTCGTGGTGAGGTGTTGGTACCCTTACTTCTGTGCTGCTGCTGGCAAGGCGCTGCCTTCAGAGCGAGGCGGCTGCAGAGTGGCGGCTGTTGGCTGGGTGTCCAGCTCTGAAGACCTTACCCCACTGGTAATGCCGTACCATGCCGCCCTTAGTTCTGCACTGCTGCCTTCACTCTGCTGCTGTCCAGCTCAGTTCTGCACTGCTGCCTTCAGAGCTGGACAGCAGCAGAGTGGGGGCTGCTAACCGAGGGCCCAGCCCTGGAGGCCACAGTGCAGGAGTAAGGGTGGCAGTACCTAGGGTTGCCAGATGGTTTCAACAAAATACACACTTGACATTACATCACAATCTACATTACATCTTAGTTAGAAAATACCAGACATTTCTATTTCCTCATGTATATTTTCTCAATTTGTTTCCCGAACAGAGAGCTCAAATACTGGACTGTCCAGTTCAAAACTGGATACCTGGCAACCCTAGCAGTACCCCAACCTCCACCCCTCACACTATAACCAGTCCCCCCAACTTCTTTTTGGGCCAAGGCCCCTACATGACACAACCATGAAAATTCCATTTTAAATAGCTGAAATCATAATCATTTTTGTGATTTTTAAAATACTATGACTGTGATATTGACCATAATGGACAGTCAGTTTGGTAGGAGTCTGTTCATTAGGCATGTAGGATTTCTGTGCTCACAGTGGCCAGGCCCAGATGCAGGGGGGTTATAGGTACAGGGGTTGCTAAGTAGCTGTGCCTTTGCCTCCCTGCCCTCCCCCCACATGCAGAGATGGTGCTGGGGGAACCGGCTCCTGCTCCCCTCCCTTACTGCCTCTGATACAGAGGCAGTGGGGGCGGGGGAGCGAGTAGTTGAATAGTGACTGGACTATCCAATAAGCCCAAGCTCGACTACTAGTCGTGTAGTCAACTAAGCCTAGGCTTATCAGGTAGTTGTCTACTTGGCTAGTTGCTTACATCCCTAGCTCCTAGGGCCTATATTTCTTGCACTTTACAGATTGCATAAAGCAAGCTTCTGGGTGTTCTTGTCTGCTTTGTTTGTTATAAACATGTAGTAATTAGTTTTTCCTCCCCTATTTACTATAAACACATTCACAATAGTTAATTGTTTCTGCGTTTACCTGTTCTGGTCTCTCTTCTCTTAACTCAAGTGCTCATGTGAGCTAAGTTTTCAGTAGCACTTGCAGGATCCAACTGGGGTTGGGGCCCCATTGTGCTTAGTCACCATATGTGCAGAGAGGAAGAGGTAGTTCTTGCCCTAGAGAATTTATACCAAACAAAGGGTGGAAAGGGAAACGTAGGTCAAGTGACTTACTCAAGATCATACAGTAGGTTAGTAGCAGAGCTAGGAATAGAATCTAGGACTCCTCATTCATAGTCCAAAGTCTTATCCTCTGTACTTCATTGCCTGTAGTGACATATTTTTATTTTTACAGGCAAAGAACCCCCTGTTATCACCAAAGAGCAGTTTCTCTGGACAATTCAGGTGGCGGCAGCTGCCGAGCAGTCTTGGAGGAACGGATCTGCTGTTGACTTACGCAATGAAGCAATAGACGTGTCTCTAATCAAGACTGAAATAATATGACACGCGCTGCTGTTTGAAGTGAAGGATATTCCCTGAGCTCCTCTATAGGGAGATCAGTCTCTAACTCTAGTGAGGTTTCCACTGTTGTCTTAATACAAAACAAAACAACCTTTTTTATTTTTGTATTTTCACTGGAAACGCCTATAACTCAGATACATTGTAGAACGACATAAGTATTCGGTGCTGGTATTACAGATTATTCTTAGAATGTCATTCAGGACTCTGAGAAGAAGTTACAGGAGACTTTGTCTACAGTGGAAGAAGCTAGTTTCAGGTTCTGGAATAATGTTTTCCTCACAGAGGATTTCCCAGACACTAATCGTGATAGGATAAGGATGTGCTGATAACCAGTAGTTGCAGCAAAGACTGTGCAGTGAACATCTTTAATGGCAGCTTAAAAACGAGGTGCAACTGTGGTGTTCAAAATGAGAGCATCAGTTTGGTCCATGCTGTACATCTCATTAGTATACGCAGGAATGTGATTTGTGTACTAACTACTCCTTTCATGGGTTCCCACATCTACAGAACTGTCCATGTTGTTCTTAATGCATTGCTGTGAACTTGAAATAACATAACCAAGACGTTGTGGTGAGCATCTGATTTTCCTGATAAAGAGCAGGCAGGGATACTTCCCATCCTGGCTCTAGCGTGTGAGGAAAGAAACTTGGAAGGCACGCTATAAATTGGACTGTTTCATAGAGCAAATCATGCACTGGGGCATTTCCATATGAACTATTTGTTTTTAAAAACAAAATCTTTTAGAATAAAATTGTGACTCTCTCTTGAGTAGCACTGTACAACATGTGTTACAGATTGAACCTCTCTAGTCCGGCACCTTGGGGACCCTGACCAGTGACGAACCAGAGAACTTGTCGAACCACAGAAGGTCAATATTGTAGTGAGCAGGTCGCACTCGCTCTTTTTTTTTAAAATTTTTTGCCAAGGTGAATAAACAGAACAATGCTTGCAGTGCTGCTTATTAAGGTCTGACTGTACTGATACGCGCTCTATAAGCCAACGCCTAGCCAAGGCTTATCAGCTCTCTTCAGAACAAAGTGTTAGCGTTGTTATACAATTTAACACTATTGGCACAAGGAAATAAGTAGATAAGCGTAAGCATGGTTTTTATGCACATACAGTATTACCAGCACTTCCTTTGCTTGCTGGTCTTTTAGAAGACATTTAGGGCTAAATAACAGAATATTGAGAGCTGGGACTCATGGCTGGAAACAAACTTTATGGGGGCTGCAGGAAACTTGGCCACACCCACGATAAACAGACATCCAACTAACTAATAGCATGCAGGACCAAATGCTATTAGATGTTGCTTGACCAGAGATGCCAGATTAGAGAGGTTCAAGCTGTACTAAGAAACACGTCACCTGGATGCAACAAAGACAGTGCGATCTATCAACAGTTTTGTTTTCCTTATTTGAATCCAAATTCATGTTTCAGTATTTCTTCAATAGGGAAATTAAATAATTCCTGTTTTCTCTGAATGAGGGAAGGGAAAATGGTATACATGGATTTTTTTTTAAACAATTCACCAGGTTTGGATTACACATTGCAGAAAAAGATAGTGCCTTCCATAACAGGCAAGTCTTGTTTAAACCAGGTTATTTGTAACTTTTTCTGCTTATGTTGAGCTTATTGAAATTTATATATTTGACTTTTTTTATTCTTCTTTGTATTTCTCATACCCTGATTTTCAAGATTTTTTTTAAAGTTTTTTTATTTGTATTAAAATAACTTCTTGCATTAAATGTGTGAACAACTGTATATGTCATATTTTCTCTTCCTGACAAATATTTCTTAGCTGTCAATTTCTAATTCTTATATATACAGTATATATTACTAAAGCTAGAAATAGTTGTGATATTTATAACTAAACAGGTCTCTTGTGGAAATTTGTTTTTTAACAGTGTCATTTTTTTGAAACCCAAAGAAAGCTATGTATTAATGATAAAATTTGCTGTCAGAATTGTCATATATTTTCTGGCCATTTATTGAAAGATAGTTTATATATAAACCTCTCTCCTAAATTCCATTAAACCAAGACAGCCACTTATTAAATGAAAGCAAATACTTTCCTTTTGTTGGGTTTTTTCTTTTTGCCATAAATGTTTGATGCAGCCAGAGTTCTTCTAATACTTACTTTCCTAAATGTAACTTCAAATATGACCTCAGATTTTCTCTACTTCTGTGTTGCAGAACGTAGCACCTTAGAAAAGAGGTAGATTTTTTTTTTTTTTTTGTATGCATTGCCCTAGACGTGTCTCTAATCAAGACTGAAATAATATGACACGCGCTGCTGTTTGAAGTGAAGGATATTCCCTGAGCTCCTCTATAGGGAGATCAGTCTCTAACTCTAGTGAGGTTTCCACTGTTGTCTTAATACAAAACAAAACAACCTTTTTTATTTTTGTATTTTCACTGGAAACGCCTATAACTCAGATACATTGTAGAACGACATAAGTATTCGGTGCTGGTATTACAGATTATTCTTAGAATGTCATTCAGGACTCTGAGAAGAAGTTACAGGAGACTTTGTCTACAGTGGAAGAAGCTAGTTTCAGGTTCTGGAATAATGTTTTCCTCACAGAGGATTTCCCAGACACTAATCGTGATAGGATAAGGATGTGCTGATAACCAGTAGTTGCAGCAAAGACTGTGCAGTGAACATCTTTAATGGCAGCTTAAAAACGAGGTGCAACTGTGGTGTTCAAAATGAGAGCATCAGTTTGGTCCATGCTGTACATCTCATTAGTATACGCAGGAATGTGATTTGTGTACTAACTACTCCTTTCATGGGTTCCCACATCTACAGAACTGTCCATGTTGTTCTTAATGCATTGCTGTGAACTTGAAATAACATAACCAAGACGTTGTGGTGAGCATCTGATTTTCCTGATAACGAGCAGGCAGGGATACTTCCCATCCTGGCTCTAGCGTGTGAGGAAAGAAACTTGGAAGGCACGCTATAAATTGGACTGTTTCATAGAGCAAATCATGCACTGGGGCATTTCCATATGAACTATTTGTTTTTAAAAACAAAATCTTTTAGAATAAAATTGTGACTCTCTCTTGAGTAGCACTGTACAACATGTGTTACAGATTGAACCTCTCTAGTCCGGCACCTTGGGGACCCTGACCAGTGACGAACCAGAGAACTTGTCGAACCACAGAAGGTCAATATTGTAGTGAGCAGGTCGCGCTCGCTCTTTTTTAAAAAAAAAATTTGCCAAGGTGAATAAACGGAACAATGCTTGCAGTGCTGCTTATTAAGGTCTGACTGTACTGATACGCGCTCTATAAGCCAACGCCTAGCCAAGGCTTATCAGCTCTCTTCAGAACAAAGTGTTGTTAGCGTTGTTATACAATTTAACACTATTGGCACAAGGAAATAAGTAGATAAGCGTAAGCATGGTTTTTATGCACATACAGTATTACCAGCACTTCCTTTGCTTGCTGGTCTTTTAGAAGACATTTAGGGCTAAATAACAGAATATTGAGAGCTGGGACTCATGGCTGGAAACAAACTTTATGGGGGCTGCAGGAAACTTGGCCACACCCACGATAAACAGACATCCAACTAACTAATAGCATGCAGGACCAAATGCTATTAGATGTTGCTTGACCAGAGATGCCAGATTAGAGAGGTTCAAGCTGTACTAAGAAACACGTCACCTGGATGCAACAAAGACAGTGCGATCTATCAACAGTTTTGTTTTCCTTATTTGAATCCAAATTCATGTTTCAGTATTTCTTCAATAGGGAAATTAAATAATTCCTGTTTTCTCTGAATGAGGGAAGGGAAAATGGTATACATGGATTTTTTTTTAAACAATTCACCAGGTTTGGATTATACATTTCAGAAAAAGATAGTGCCTTCCATAACAGGCAAGTCTTGTTTAAACCAGGTTATTTGTAACTTTTTCTGCTTATGTTGAGCTTATTGAAATTTATATATTTGACTTTTTTTATTCTTCTTTGTATTTCTCATACCCTGATTTTCAAGATTTTTTTTAAAGTTTTTTTATTTGTATTAAAATAACTTCTTGCATTAAATGTGTGAACAACTGTATATGTCATATTTTCTCTTCCTGACAAATATTTCTTAGCTGTCAATTTCTAATTCTTATATATACAGTATATATTACTAAAGCTAGAAATAGTTGTGATATTTATAACTAAACAGGTCTCTTGTGGAAATTTGTTTTTTAACAGTGTCATTTTTTTGAAACCCAAAGAAAGCTATGTATTAATGATAAAATTTGCTGTCAGAATTGTCATATATTTTCTGGCCATTTATTGAAAGATAGTTTATATATAAACCTCTCTCCTAAATTCCATTAAACCAAGACAGCCACTTATTAAATGAAAGCAAATACTTTCCTTTTGTTGGGTTTTTTCTTTTTGCCATAAATGTTTGATGCAGCCAGAGTTCTTCTAATACTTACTTTCCTAAATGTAACTTCAAATATGACCTCAGATTTTCTCTACTTCTGTGTTGCAGAACGTAGCACCTTAGAAAAGAGGTAGATTTTTTTTTTTTTGTATGCATTGCCGAAGATTCATCCACAGCTGCTCCCCAGTCGCAGAGGAAGGCCATGTATTACTTTGAATTGTGTGATCCGGCAAGCAATTTGCTCAGTGCTTCCAATAACTTGGGTAAGTACTTTTATCCTTTGGTCCTTTATATCTTCACGCTACTCACTGAGGCTATGTCTCCACATGCATTTGAGCAACACAACTTTTGTCGTTCCTGGTTGCTTTTAAAAAACAAAAAAACTCAAAAACAACAAACTTTTGCCACGGCAAGTGACGTATGAACGCTGCCTTGTTGGCAGGAGCACTGACGACAAAGTGAAACCCCCTCAGAAGGGGGTGCAAGTATTTTGCCTGCAATAATGCCAAGAGTTTTCACGCAAGCTGACTTTTAGCGACAGGGTCTGTCAACAGTAGGGATGTAAAATCCCATTTAACTAGTTAACTGGAGCAGCCTGCATGCCAGTCGCAGCCAGGCTGGAGTACCCTCTCCCCCTCCCGCAGGCAGAGGCTGCTCCAGCCTGGCCCTGTCCACAGCAGGCCCTCCATGGGGCTTGAGCAGCCCCCAGCTCATGGCAGGTGGAGAACTGCTCCAGCCCCCACCAGTTAACAAGTAACCAGAACCAGTACACATCACCTGTTAGGGGTGATGGTTACCGGTTAAGCAGACAACTAGTTAACCTTGAAATCCCTAATCAACAGAGTCTTGTTAAAGTCCGCATAGCAGAGACATACTTGAGTTGCAGCAGCAAACTTGGCATTTCCTACTCAAGCTTAAGGCCAGTTCTGAAAGGCAGAAGGCAAATTTCGAAGGTGTAGACTGGGACACTAGTATTACCAGGCCACCTGTCAGGCAATGTGGTCAAGAGCTGTTTTGCTGCTATATTTCAGACATCTTTTATTGTGTTACAAAAACAAAACCAAACAAACCACAGCTATAAAAATAACACATTTTCCAAAAGATAACATTACAAAAAATACAATTAATAGAATTGGAATATATCCAGTAATACTGCTGGAAAAAAGCCTTAGTTAACATTGAAAACATGAATGATTATTTTAAAAAACCTTAAAGCATTAAAGTGCTTTAATTTGCTACTACTTAGAAAGCGCATGTTCACAGCTCGGCAACACCTTGAAGTGCTAATCCCTAAAGAGCACAGTGTGCATAAGTGTACAGCTTTCAAATATGGTGGGCTGCAATGTGGTCTCTAATTTTTTTCCCCGATCCATGTGCGGCATAAATTTTGTCATATGCACCGAGGCATGTGCAGCTGTGCACCACCAATGGAAACACTCCTGCTGGCTGGGGGCAGCTATGGGCACTCAGTCAATCAGCTGGGCAGTGTCTGAATCTCTCCTGGGTAGGCTGCCCAAGTGCTCTGCTTACAGGGAACACTGGTGAGGGAGGAGAGTGGGGGGGGTTAAAAAAAGAAGTGGGAACTGACCTGGTGGTTCAGGGAGTGGAGCAGCAGCATTCTGTGCCTTCTGAGCTCCCAGAGGAGGAGGAGGAATTGGTGTAGAAAGGGAGAAGGGCCACGTACACTTGTGTGACTGTGCTGGCATTTGCAGAGGTAAAGCTCAGTTTCCCCCTGGCCACTGCTCTGCTAAGATTGAGGACAGAGCCCACCTGCTTGAGAGGAGAAGGTAGATCTGCTGAGGTGAACCTTGTCCTTGCTCATAAGTTAAATCTTTATCCCACCTCTGGCTCCTTTATGCCTGGTAAAAAACCTCAGGTAATGTAAAAACCTCATATCAGGCCGGGGAGGAGTCCCCCATGCAAGCCGGGTGGGATGTAGCCATAAAGACTCTTTTTCAAGGACCCAGGGGAGGGGCCATGCCAAAGAGTGGAGATTCCAGAAAGCATGGACGCCCCCATAATGCAGGTCTTCAGGGCTGTCTAGATTATGTCTGGGGCTACAGAGCAGTCCTGGACCAGGAGGGTACAAAGATGACTTAATGCCACCCTAGCCCCTCCTCTGTCTGAGTTGTGAATCAGCTGTGCCTCTTCAAGGTGTGTCTCAGAATTTCTCCCAGAGCATCCAGCTGCCTCGTGCGAGGTGAATACATCTGCATGCGTGATTCTTCAAGGTGTGTCTCAGAATTTCTCCCAGAGCATCCAGCTGCCTCATGCGAGGTGAATACATCTGCACGCGCGACTGTTTCCTGCCACGGTTTTAAGTTCAACCAGCAGGCTAACAAAAGCTTGAGGAAAATCAACACAACACCTACCCATGGGGAAGAAATCCTTTCCACTGGCCAGCATAGCAAATGGAATCCTTTCACCAGATGGGATCTTTATCAATAGTCAGGGAAATCCAATTGGTTTTTTACCTATATTGGTTAATGGTTAAGGCAACATTCGAGTTGGGTGACGAATTATGAGAGCTCAGGCGATCCCAGGAACTTTGAGCAAGATTTGGGTGAAAAAGGGTAATTAATTATACAGACTCTTCAATTCCCAAGGGGGAGGGGGGGAGTCCATGGATTTGCCTCTCCAGAATGTCACTAAAAATCCACATGGGGGGGAATGAATTTTTAACCAGTAAGGCTGGAAAGTAATCAGTTTTTTGCATGCTAGAGCATGGGGAATGAATTTTTAACCAGTAAGGCTGGAAAATAATCAGTTTTTTGCAAGTTTACATGCTAGAGCATGAGTTAATTTAAGGGGAAATTATCAACATTTTTAAAGCATACAGGTACATGAAAATAAATCTCTCTATCCTTACAGCACGGTGAATATACTGTATATACAGCATGTGTCTATATACACAAATATTTCGATACACGCACATAGTCAGGAATCAGCAAATAAGTTGCTTTTCTGCTCTACAAAAAAACAAAAGAAGTAAATACTTTTTGGCAGTCCATCAGGAAAGCAAATCCTTTTGTTCTTGGATATTAGTCAATGGCAAATATCCCAAAAGAAAGTTGAATGACTGAGGATTAAACCACTTTTCACATGACAAAGGTCTTAATTGTTCGGCCATCGGATAGCAAACTGAGCAAGGATAGGGTGGAATGTGGGGGAGGTTAGAGTTAATGAGTGTGTATGTGTGTGTTGCCTTTACATAGCATTAGAGTTTGATGTAAAATGGTCCAGCAAATTGTAAAGTAGCACTGTACGTTGGCAAGTGAATATTCCTCTGCCTCAGGAAACTAAAAACTCTTTACAGCTTGTTGAAAGTTTTGTGTGGGCTGTCCGTTTTCCTCCTCTTGCTCCCCTGACAAAAAACCATTGGGATTTTCCTCCTGGGATGGTCCCATGCCCACGGCCTCTCACACGGCTCTGAGTTCCCATCTCTTAAGTAAAGCCATGTTAAAAAATACTTTCTCCTGACACTCAAAGCTGGAAACGTTTTGCCATGTTCCATGCTGGGTGTCTATTTCCCCCTGTTCCTTTAACTCTCTGATTCTGGTCTCTTGCTGCTGCACTGCTGGAGACCTTCAGTTGATCTCGCCCTCTGTGAACTCTTCCTTTATGGACTGTTTGCGGGATTTACAGTCTGGGAGGTCAAAGCCAAAGTCCGACCACTCATCCGCCCCGCTGCGGTTGGGGATGGTGATGGTGTGGCGCACGCGGAAATGCACCGCCTCCATGACGCGCTGCCGCTGTAACTCCCCAGAACTGCCAATGGAAATGGTGGAGGCGTTGCTGCTGGAGCGGATAAGCTGCTGCGCCCCATAGTCATGGCTCTGTTTGAGTTCCTGAAGGCCTCTCCAGATAATCATCCTGTACTGCTCTGGGATCTTCAGTGCTCCGAGATCCTAGAACAACAGCATCACACAGGTCGGTCTCCTCAAAAATGTGTTTGCTAAATAGCACAGTCAAGCTAAGGGGGAACCCTTGGGCCAGGGGGAGAGAGAGAGAGAGAGAGAGAGTGTGTCAGACACCCTGTAATTTGGTAAGGAACAGAGAATTCCTTTGCTTTAAATGAATGTGATTAACAAAGCGGGTGGTTTGAGGCAGAACCCCTTCACTGTGCACGTTTCAGAACCCAGGGAGGGGTCAGATCAAAATAGCACAGTCAAGCTAAGGGGGAACCCTTGGGCCAGGGGGAGAGAGAGAGAGAGAGAGAGAGTGTGTCAGACACCCTGTAATTTGGTAAGGAACAGAGAATTCCTTTGCTTTAAATGAATGTGATTAACAAAGCGGGTGGTTTGAGGCAGAACCCCTTCACTGTGCACGTTTCAGAACCCAGGGAGGGGTCAGATCATTCTACTTATGGGAATAAATACAGTTTGCCTGCCATCGTTTCTCTC